GACAAAGGTGCAGTGGTGTCGAAGAGCTTCCCACAGTTAACTACGGAAAGTTGTTAGGGGTGGTGGTTCCTATTTTCATTCATTCACGTACCTGCAAAAGGTAGTGGGGGAAGGGTAGGGGGACAAATATATGACAGGCAAAGTAGCTGTGAGAAGTGAGAGTTTCTCATTCCACACTGTAACTATAGTAGGGGTGGTTTGTTCCTAATTTCATTCATTCAGGGGCCTGCATAAAAATGCAAACCCTTATTGGAAGGTTGTGGGGGGAAGGGTAGGGGGACACATGTATGATAGGCAAAGTTGCTGTGAGAAGCGAGAGAGTGTTATTCCAGACGTTAACTATAAGAAAATTATTAGAGTTGTCATTCGTATGCCTGCAAAAAATGCAAAACCGTTAAAACTCTTATTGGAAGGTGGTGGGGAGAAGGGTATGTAAGGGTTGGGAGACACATGTATGATAGGCAAATGAAGTGAGGGAGTGTAATTCCAAGACTAAACTTTATTGAAATTATTAATAATGGTTGAGTCAGTGGATGGTGCTTGAAAATGGGGGGAGTATGTTTTGCCTAGAGCATATAAATACATATACTTGGGTGTTGATTAACCCTCGGCGCGCATGCGCAGCGAGGGTTACGGTACTTTGGTCTGTGTGTCTGCGTGTCCTGTGTCTCTGTCTGTCTATGACTGTTACTCTGCTGTCTGTTTACTCTCATCTCACTTCGTGAGTGTTCGTTCGTCTCACAAGGACTCACCACCGTACTGAAGGGGCAATGAGGTCAGAATTTCCGAACCGTTTCCTCTGAAAAAGCTTCTCCGTTGCAATGCTAGAGCGCGAAAAGCCAAGTGCAATACACAACGGCTTACTACGGCATGATCGACCGCTGTGCTCTGCGTACCTCGCATTCACCAGAGATGCAACGCAGGCGTGTATCGCTCTCGCATGCTATCTAGTATTGTAGTTAGAACTGCGTCAGACTCGGCGCGAGTCCTGCAAAAACACAACAAGAGACCACGAGTAACAGCTAAAGCTAAACCCAGCCCTCTATTAGTGGTACGCGTACATGCGGGGTTTACTTACGCGCGCGCTCACAGTGCGCCGAGGGTTTGCACTTCCATGGCTTTCATCTTACTAGTACTGGTGTATGGGATGTGCATATAAAGAATGTGTTAGACACTGTAGAAGAAGATTAATCAGATGCTAGTGTAATTAGTAATAGGGATATTATTTGCTTCTCGCATGCGTGTTGTAGCTGGCGTGTGGGTTAGGCAAACTTTCGAGTATGGATGAGGTGTGGGAAGTCAATAAATACTCAAGCAGCTGCGTTAAGTCGGTGATGCTGAGAGGAGCTAAGCATATCCTTGGTTTTCGTCTAAGACATGTAATTAAGCCGTTAGGGGGATATGGGGCTTTGCTACTTACAAGGGCCGCAGGAAAGATAAGTTAACGTGGTGGTATAGTTAGCGGCTTGCAGGCAATAATTCCGAAGAAATTTTGTACGCAGGATGGATTTTAGCCTGAGAGGTAGCAGAGGAAGTGTTGAGTAAGGTCAATTGTGACCTTTTTCGTCAATAGGTCTTGACAAGCAGAGTGGTCGCATGATATTCAAATGGGGACTGAAGGGCTTTCTGTCTACAGTAGGGGAAGTTTAATGATTGGAGAATTAGAAAGTTTGAAGGTGGCTAAAAAGAAAAGTAAAAGCAAGTCGTTTTGTAAAGACATTTAACAAGGTGTTACAGTTCAAAAAGTTACTTGCATGGGAAAAGTGATGCTTGGTCTAGATTTATTGTTTAAGTTTAGGTCAGGCACGCATGGGCTAAATGAGGAATGGTAGGCACGGGGGGAGGGAGGGTAATGAAGGAGTGCTTTGTGTGATGATGAGTGTGAAGTGTGAGTCATGTGTTTGTGAGTGTCCAGCATATAGGAGGAATTTCTTTTTCTTAGTTGGCCACTGCAGGGGCAGCTTGGGGATGATGGGTTTGAGAATTTCCTTCGCTTTGATATGTTCAAAAGCATCCTTTGAGTGAGCTGTGGAGCATAAATTTGTTCTTTGCTTGCCGCCTCATGTGACAGATTTTATTTTGGGTATGTTTGGGAGCTAAAGAAATGTTTAGGTTATACGGCGACAGTCGCCGTACAACAAACCAGTCTCAGATTGCATCTGGGGAGCTGCAAATGTGTTCGCTGGGTGTAAGGGGTGAGTTTGAGGTGTCTGGGAGTGAGACGGACACCTCATGTTTCATATGTGTATGTTCGTTTGTTAACGGTTCCGCCCATTGTTCTGGGTGCGTAGTCTATGACCCTAGTGCTATGGCAGCCACCTGAGTATTATTAATGATGGTTGGTTTCCCCATGTGCCTGCAAAATATGCAAAACCGTTAAAACTCTCATTTGAAGGTGGTGGAAAGAAGGGTAGAGCGACACATGTATGATACGCAAAGGTGAAGTCAGAAGAGCGAGAGTCTCATTCCACACATTATCTATAGTAAAATTGTTAGGAGTGGTTGGTTGTTTTCTAATTTCATTCGCGTTCCTGCAAATAACGCAAAACCGTTAAACCTCTTATTGGAAGGTAGTGGAAAGAAGGGTAGGTAGGGTGACACATGTATCATAGGCTAAGGTGAAATAACAAGAGCGAGAGTGTCATTCCACACTTTCACTATAGTAATATTATTATGGCTGTTTTGTTCTTGATTATGCAAAACCGTTAAAATCCTTATTGGAAGAGGGGGAAATATGTATGATAGACAAAGGTGCAATGAGAAATGGAAGAGCAAATCTTTTCTACGTTTCAACTTGATTGAAATTATTAATGATGGATGGTTAGTTTTTTCCTTCGTTCATATGCCGGGAAAAACAGCAACACCATTAAAACCCTTATTGGAAGGTGGACGGGGAAGGCTTGGGAGAAACATGTATGATAGGCAAAGGTGCTGTGAGATGTGAGAGAGTCTCATTCCACACTTTCACTATAGTAAAATTGTTAGGGGTGGTTGATTTCATTCTTTCAGGTGCCTGCAAACCGTTGTGGGAGGAAGGGTAGGAGGACACTTGAAATTATTGGGGATGGTTGTTTCCTTATTTCATTCATGCACGTTCCTGCAAAAAATGCAAAACCGTTAAAACTCTTATTAGAAGGTGGTGGGGAGAAGGGTAAAGTATGATAGGCAAAGGTGCAGTGAGAAGTTAGAGAGTCTCATTCCACATGATAACTAAAACCAAATTATTAGGGTTGGTTGGTTCCTAATTTAATTCATTCCCGTGCTTCAAAAAAATGCAAAACCGTTAAAACTCTTATTGGAAGGTGGTGAGGAGAAGGGTACGAAATGGTTGATAGGTAAATGAAGTGAGGGAGTGTAATTCCAAGACTAAATTATTAATGATGGTTGGTTAGTAATTTCCTTCGTTCATGTGCCCGCAAAAAATGTAAAAACGTTCATTGGAAGGTGGTAGGAGGAAGGGTAGGGGGACACGTGTATGATAGGCAAAGGTGCAGAGAGAAGTGCGAGAGTCTTATTCTACACTTTTAATATAGTAAAATTGTTAGGAGTGGTTGGTTCTTAATTTTATTCTTTTACGTGCCTGCATAAAATGCAAAACCGTTAAAATTCTTATTGGAAGGTGGTGGGGAGGGGGAAGTACGTATGTATGATAGTCAAAGGTGCAGTGAGAAGAACGTAAGAGAGTCTTATTCTAAACTTTTAATATAGTAAAATTGTTAGGGGTGGTTGTTTCGTAATTTCATTCATTCACGTGCTTGCAAAATATAAAATCTCTTATTGGAAGGTAGTGTAAAGAAGGGTAGGGCGACACATGTATGATAGGCTAAGGTGAAATAACAAGAGCGAGAGTCTCATTCCACACTTTCACTATTGTAAAATTGTTGGGGATGGTTGGTTCCTTATGTCATTAAATGCACGTGCCTGCAAAAAATGTAAAACCATTAAAACTCTTAGTGCTGGGGAGAAGGGTATGCAAGTATGATAGGCAAAGGTGCAGTGAGAAGTTAGAGAGTCTCATTCCACACGATAACTACAACCAAATTATTAGGGTTGGTTCGTTTCTCATTCCCGTGCCTCCAAAAAATGCAAAACCGTTAAAACTCTTATTGGAAGGTGGTGTGGAGAAGGGTATGTAAGGGTTTGGAGAAACATGTATGATAGGAAAATGAAGTGAGAGAGTGTAATTCCAAGACTAAACTTTATTAACCCGGCGCGCAGCGAGGGTTACAGTAGTTGAGTCTGTCTGTCTGTGTCTGTCTGTCTGTTACTCTCCATCTCACTTCTCGAGTGTTTGCTCGTCTCACAAAGGACACGGTTTACTTAATGGACAATGAAGGTCAGAAATTTTAAACTGTTTTCTCTGAAAATGCTCCGTTGCAAACCTAGAGCACATCCAGCATTGTATGGCTAATGCCGGTAGACGCCATTTTATCGTTCCGGGAAACACGGGCTTACCTCAACCGGGTCCGCTTGCTCTGTGTATCTTGAAGGCACAAGAAGTCACAACGAATGGCGTGTATCGACTCTCGCATGATATCTATCACTGTAGCTAGTCCGTGTCAGACTCTCTGTGAGCTACTAGCGGGAGACAGTGAGTAAACGCACACTAATAGCCCAGCCCATCAATTAGTGGTACCGCGCATGTGCAGTTCACCGAGGGTTTGCACTTTAGTGCTTTTCATTGAAATTATTAATGATGGTTGGTTAGTAATTTCCTTCGTTCATGTGGCAGCAAAAAATGCAAAACTGTTGAAATTCTTATCGGAAGGTGGTGGGGAGTGCAGTGAGATGTAATTCCATATTTTAACTAGTCTGAAATAAATAATGATGGTTAGTTAGTAATTCCGTTCATGTGCCTGCAAAAAAATGCAAAACTGTTCAAAACCTTATTGGAAGGTGGTGGGGGAAGGGTAGGGGTATGATAGGCAAAGCTCCAGTGAGATGTGAGAGAGCGTACGTAATTCCACATTTTAACCACACTGATATTATTTACGTATGACGGTTGGTTAGTAATTTCCTTCGTTCATGTGCCCAGAAACAATGCAAAATCATTCAACGAAGGTGGTGGAGGGAGACACATTTATGACAGGCAAATGTGCAATGAGAAATGAGAGTGTTATTCCAGACTGTAACATGACTGAAATGTATGATAGGCAAAGGTGCAGTGAGAAGTGCGAGAGTCTCATTCCACACTTTAAACATAGTAAAACTGTTAGGAGTGGTTGATTTCATTTATTCAGGTGCCTGCAAATCGTTGTGGGAGGAAGGATAGGAGGACACTTTAACTATAGTAAAATTGTTGGGGTTGGTTGGTTACTTATGTCATTAAATGCACGTGCCTGCAAAAAATGCCAAACCATTAAAACTCTTATTGGAAGGTGGTGGGGAGAAAGGTATGGGGACACAAGTATGACAAGCAAATAAAAAATCCTGCGAATTTAAAGGGATGGTATATTATATATATTGTTGCCTGGTGTGCTACTCTTATAGGGGCTAAAGGTTACTAAAAGCAAGCATTCTTTCACCGTGTCCGTGTTGTTTTAAGTAACATTTATACTGCCACATTCCCTATAATTAAACTCCACTTGGACTCTATAAGGGTGTTGGTTACTCAGTAGTGTATTGCAAGTTCTGATGGTGAATGTTTAATACTTCACCGAGGCAACAATATAGGGATTGTGTGATGGGGTTGTAGGTGTCAGCATACTCAAATCTGTTCATTAACCATGCTTCGTGTATCCCATCCCTATCTTGTCTCCCTTTCTTTTTATACCATCCCTATATGCCTTTTTTTAAATTCGCAGTAATTTACTTGTCTCCACTCATTTTTATATACTACTACACATTATCTCTGTGGAAGGGGGCAAGCCCCTGTAAAAATTAATAATAGAGAAAAAATGCCTGTTGTCGTCATGGAAATGATATGCACACCACGTTTCATCTCCATGTGTGCTGCAGTTAGCAAGTTTGAGGAGTGAAGAAGTAATTTCAAAGAAAAGTGCCTGAGGTAAATTGTTGTGGTCGTCATGGAAACGATGTTACACACATACGTACCAAGTTTCACCTCCATGCGTGCTATAGTTGTATGATAGGCAAATGTGCAATAAGAAGTGAGAGAGTGTAAATCGACGCTTTAACTTGATTGCAATTATTAATGATGGTTGGTTAGTAATGTCCTTCGTTCATGTGCAAGGAAAAAATGCAAAACCGTTCAAACCCTTATTGGAAGGTGGTGGAGGGAAGGGTAGGGGAGACACATCTCTGATAGGCAAAGGTGCCGAGAGAAGTGAGAGTCTCATTACACACTTTAACTATAGTTAGGGACGGTTGGTTCCTAATTTCACAAGTGGAAAAATCATTTCTTCAAAATGAAAGGGGGATATAGGGATGGCTTGAAGCACCAAAAAGGAAGAAACAAGGGTTTATTACACAGTAAAGTTGCACAAAGCTACATGACACCATCCCTATATCTTTGTTCGATATTAAACTTTGCTTATAAACAATAAAACAAAGATATAGGGATGGTGTCACGTAGCTTTGTGCAACTTTGCTGTGTAATGACCCCTTGTTTCTTCCTTTTTGGTTCCATCCCTATATCCTTTGATTTTGAAGAAATGGATTTTTCCACTTGTTTCCACTATTTTTAACAGCTTATGCTGATGTTCATGGGTTAGACAAATTGAAAGTAACATATAGATAATGCGGCTGCTAGTTCCTGAAGCTGGGGCTAGATACCGCTGTCTTCAACAAGGAAGGAATTACATTATTGCACATGGTTGTGGTTTCATGGGCAGGCTTTTATACCACCTGGGGGGATAAACAATGACGGCTGAGCGCCCCGCAAGGCTTGCGTAACACAGCGCAGACTCTCCTCTGACTCCGGCAAGTTGCTCTTCGTGCAAATCAACAGCAAGCTAGCCGGTTGGAAATGTTCACACTTACATAAAGAAGGTACTGGAGGCTGAGAGTTCCTCTGCAGGTCAGCCAACTCGCCCGGTAATACGCGCGCAAGCGCATTGCACAACGCCCATGTGCGCGCGGCTCACACAGAGGCTGGCCCTCGGCGCGCATGCGCATCGAGGGTATCGTGTCTGTTGTCGACCACGCTGTTCCGCGTCCTACACGCGCGTGCTCATTTAAGAACGTCACATTAAAATTACGTAATCCTTAACAACGCGTGCGTGGCAACGGGCCAGTTCTTTTTGCCCCGGGGAAACGGCTAGCTAATTGTTATTGTGAACTTTTAACCTCCGCCACGAGGCAGCTAGTTTGTAGCTCTTTCGGACGGTGCGTCTTCCTTCCCGGTCGAAGGGATGGTTTGGCGAGAGCGGCAGGGGTGAAACAGGAGAAAGAAGTAAGTGGCAGCGTCTGTCACACAGTTTTTAACGCCTAACAGAGCGACTAATAGTATTGTGTAGGCCCTGTAGAAGAGTTTGGTCGTGCTTTTGCCTTCTAAACATTTTTTGTAGGCTTCACTAAGATGTAGCCATTCTTGTCATTTTCTCCTGGCAACTGAGGCACATTGTTGGTGGGTGAATGTCTGGGTGTCAGAGTGCTGGTCAATGCCAACTGCTGCCCACTGCTCTGGTTTTATGGAGGAGCATGGATATCTGTAGGCTTTTGAATTGGCATTGATGGAAACACAAACTCTGCAGTGCTTTTGTAGCTGTTCCAAATGATATTTATGGCTATTCCAAATGATATTTATGGCTATTGCGGGCCATTGATGAGTGGGTGTGTGTAGAGTGCCGTCGGAAGTCTCGCGCGTGCACTAGGTACACGCCCCCACCTCTCTGGGCTTGCTGCGAGCTGACAAAAAATGTTTAGTGAGCGATGTCTTGTGCGAGGTATAGTACGGTTTGTTGTGCACTTACTGCATATGGCTTTGCGTTGATAAAAACTGTGTGAAACTGGCACTGAGCGGGTTTTCCGGCGGTACCCGTGGCGCGGGTTGCAACAAAGACGGTCTGCGCAGTTGTAAACAATTTTGGCAGCTGGCTGCGCGAAGCTGCCATGGTGATGTATAGTTAGTGTTCATGTTCTTTGCAACCATTGAGCGCTGTGTGTAGTCAGGATTGGTAGAAAACCCCATAGCAACGAGTGCACAAAAACGACACGTATACGTTGCTAGGTCCCGCGATAAAAAATTTCTGCCCGGCCTGCACGCGATAACGATCTAAATGTCCGCGCGACATGTCTACGACTAGCTAACTAGTCGTAGACAACAGACACCCTACTCTCCCCGGTGTACCCTCGCAGTACAGGCTACGAGGCGGCTTATGAGCGATACAAACAGCTTTAGCGGTACACGGGCAAAAAAATAAAATGGCGACTTTGCGTTCGAGAGCGACAAACCGGCACAGCGCGCGTTGCGTGGCCCAATCCATCAATAAGCGGTGCGCATGCGTGTATTAGACGCGCATGCTGGCTCACCACGACCTGATCCGCTTGCTCTGTGCTCTGTGTACATTGGAGGCATAAGAAGCCACAGTGAAGGGTGTGTATGGACTCCCGCATGCTATCTACTACTGTAGCTACTAGCCCGTGTCAGACTCAGTGCGAGCTACTATATATATAGCGGGAGCCCAGCCCATATATTAGCGGTACCGCGCATGCGCAGTTCGCCGAGTACATATGAGGTCATCACGTGCTCATCCCGCCAACTGACAAGACGCGCGTTTTTGGGCAGCTGCCGCTTCGTGCCATCCGAGGGACGTGGAGGACGAAACGACGAAGGAGGACACCCGAAAGGACCGCCCCGGCTCCTCACGCGGCAGGAAGAGAGCAGTGGAGTGGCTCCGCTCGTCCAGGACTCCCACTTCCCGCATGACCGCTGGACAGGGGACCGAGGACGCCTCCTCCCCGAGGAAGCAACGCGCCACAGCTTCCCAATGCGCGAACAGCAACAGGCTGGGGCCCACTGCTCCAAGGAGCGGGCCCACGATCAGCCGTCGCGGGTCGACGGCCCCACGGGGCGGGCCCCCGACCAACACTTCCTCTGATGACTCGGAGGCCTCGAGCGCAGATGATGAGCGCTCCTCGGACTCTCAGTCGAGGTAAATTGTTTCCCGACTGATGGAGGGGACCCTCACTTGCTGGATCTTCCCCACTAGGGAGTCGGGAGGCGCTCGGGACTCCATACAGTCCCGCCCCCTAGGCGGAGTAGGTGGTGTCAGCATGGCAGAGTCTCTTGGAGGGGGGCCTGGAGGAGGACCTGGAGGTGTTGGTGCCGGCAGCGGAGGTCCTCTCTCTGCCAAAGAACTCTTTGCCTGGTGGGCAATGCCTCTGAATTAGTATCACAGGAGAGACGCACCAAAATCCTGGATGCGATCGACCCCTCATGGGCCAAGTACAGCTCCGAGAGCTTCCCCAAGGCGGGAAAATCCTGGGGATGATTTGAAGTCCACACTGGCTGACACGGTGGAGAAAGATGTGGCCTTGTCAAAATCAGTAGCTCTGATAAAGAAAAGCAAGAACCCAGCCAGGTCTGGTGCCCCTCCCCACTTCTTTAGGAGGGATAGACAACAGATCACTCCTTTTTTCCAAGAGGCCCTCCTGCTGGGTATGGGAGCAGGCAGGACAAGAACCAATTCCATACACCCCGAGACCCCGCCTCAAACAGGAACCCATTCGCACGAAGGTTCCACCTCCTCTCCAGAAGCAAAGTTTTGGCCAGAGTCCACAATACCACGAGCCTCGCCTCCCGGCAGACCCCTTCACCTCAAGACCCCAACCGAAGAAATAGTCTCCCTTCTCGGAAACCTTCCCCAATCTCTCCTCCATGCCACTGGGATCATGTTCGATTGGAGTATGGTGGAAAGAGAGGCCTCATGACCTGTGGGGGGAAGACTTTTTTTACTTTTCCCACAACTGGGAGCAGATCACCAATGACCCGTGGGTCCGGACACAGTAGCAGGTTTGAAGCTCAGGTTCACAAGTACCCCACCACCTTTGGCTCCTCGGGGGCTCCCACATTTCGATCAGGATACCGCAAGGCTCTTGACGGCCGAGATACAGGTCCTGGAGTCCAAGGTCGTGATCACGAGAGTCCCAGCAGGAAGTGATGCAGGATTTGTCAGCCCGATGTTTGTTGTCCCGAAGTCGGACGGGACGTGGAGACCAGTGATCAACCTGAGGAATCTGAAATGGCGTTGTTTTGTGTTGACCATGGAAGAGCTCCATGATCTACCCTAGTGACTAGCGGCAAGAAATTGGAGACCGTCGTGAAAAATCTGTGCTTGAACTGGTAGTGGTAAGGAGATAGCGGGTTTAAAGAAGAAGAAGAAGATGAAGAATATGATGACACGACTACCGACTCTGTAATTCATTCACGTGCCTGCACAAGATGCACAACGGTTAAACTTGTTTTAAGGTCGTGTGGAGAGGACACATGTATGATAAGCAAAGGTGCAGTGAGAAGTGCGAAAGTCTCATTGCACACTGTAAAATTGTCAGGGGTGGTTGGTTCCCTGTAAAAAGTGGCAAAACCCTCAAAACTCTTATTGGAAGGTTGTGGGAGGAAGGGTAGGGGGACACGTATGATAGGCAAAGGTGCAGTGAGAAGTGAGAGAGTCTCATTTCACACTTTAACTAAGTAAATTTGTTAGGGGTGGTTTGTTCCTAATTTCATTCATCCACGTGCCTGCATAAAATGCACAACCGTTAAAATTGTTGTTGGAAGGTCGTTTGGAGAAGGATAGGGGGGGACACAATATGATAGGCAAAGGAACAGTGAGTCTCATTCCATGTAAAATTGTTAGGAGCCTAATTTCATTCATTCACGTGCCTGGAAAAAATGCAAAATCATTAAAACTCTTATTGAGAGCCGGTGGGGAGAACAGTATGGGGAAACATGTATGATAGGCATAGGTGCAGTGAGAAGTGCGAGAGTCTGATTCCACATTTTGACTGTAGTAAATTTGTTAGGGATGGTTTGTTCCTAATTTCATTCATTCACGTGCCTGCAAAAAAATGCAAAACCGTTAAAACTCTTACTTGAAACTCCCCATCATAGCCCCATACATCTATGATGCTAGGTACCATTCCATATAATACTAAGTACTACCGTACTTAGTGATTCATATTTCTCATCAATGCATTCTCTATGGGAGAGAAAACCAGTGTGCTCCTTCCATTAGAGCGAACGGTTCGCGTCTATTGTGCAGAGTAGCTGCCTCCTATGGTATGTGCAGGCGTATTGGAGCTAGGGAAATAACGCACCGGTTTTCTCTCCCATAGAAAATGTATGTAGAAGAGATATGATATGACGATGAGCTTGCAAAACAGCTGGAAGAATCTGAGAAAAATAGCTATTAATCACGACCACCCGTTCAAGTGCTATCGAAAAAATTGTCGCTGAACAAACTCGTACGAACCTTTCAAATTTAAGGTAGCCGGTCTGGTGTGTGGATGTGGCCGAGGAATTTTGGACTGTATAGTGGTAGAAAAACCACCATATGCCCTCAACCTAAATATTAAACCTCTTTGATGTGATGTATAGCAACTCCATTATGTTTATGGTTGCATTTCAAGTACCGCGCGTATGAATTCCAACATCAAAAGTTCCAAGTGTTAGGTCCACACACAGCACCCTGTCCACTGTAGTTTTACTGCAAACGGGACTGAGATGATGGTCGATGAGCCACTTGTTGCACATTTCTGATCTACGTATTGTAACATCCTGATCTTCTCGCAAATCTCAGATAGAATAAAGTGCAATGCAACTGTTACATCACTAGAATGTCATATAGAATGTAATCCAGGTAAAGGATTTAATATTGGTAATCTAGATAAAGGTGGTAATGGAGGTTATAATTATAGCTATTGCCTTTCGAAGACCTAATGACGAAAGGTGATCATCAATGACCTTACTCCAACACTTCCTTGGAGAGGAAGGCAGAGGAAGTGTTGGAGTAAGGTCATTGATGATCGTCAATAGGTCTTGACAAGGCAGAGTGGTTGCATGATATTCAAAATTGGGATTGAAGGGGGCTTTCTGTCTACAGTAGGGAACAGTATTAATGAGAGG